GAAGTAAAAGTTCTACTTATAAGCAAGGTAAAACTAAATAATTAGAAGGTAGGAAATAAAAACATGTATCAATAAAATGGAAAACAAACTATAGAAAAAAGTTAACAATGATAAAAGTTGGTTCACTGTTGATATAGGGGCTCTGGAAAACAGTTTGATAATTTTCAAGAAAAATAAACGTAAGTTATCAAATAATCTAGCAGTTCCATTTCTGGGTATGTGTGTGTCTGTGTGTACACATATATGAGATGAAAACATGTCCTAACAAAAATGTGTACATGAATGTTAACAGTCGCTTCATAATGATTAAGAAGTAAAAACAGCTTGGCATAGTGGCAAACATCTTTAATTCCAGCCTGGTCCACATAGTGACTTCCAGGTGAGTTGGGACTAAGGAGACCCTCTCAAAAAAACAAACAACAACAAAAAAAACAACAAAAAAAGTAAAAACAGGGCTGGGCGTGGAAGCATATGCTTTTAATCCCAGACTCAGGAGGCAAAGGCAGGTGGATCTTTGTGAGCTTGAAGCTAGCCTGGTCTGGTCTACATAGGGAGTTCCTGTCCAGGCCAACACAAAAGTCCATCAAATAAAATGTAATGCTACAAGGACTGGGGATGTAGCCCAGTGTTGGAGTACCTGCCTAACATGCATAATATCCTGGGTTCAATTTTCAGTACCCCAGGGGAAACAAAACAAAAACAAAACAACAAACCAAAAGCACATTTTTAAAAGAAAAGCAATGGATGGATGAATCTTCACAAAATTATGGTAAATGGAAAAGAAAAAAATCACAAAAGACCCAATACTGTATGATTTCATATATACAAAATGTCCTGAATAGGGTCTCTGTAAGCAGATAGTAAATTAGTAGATGCCTAGGATTGGGGAAGTAGGAACAGAGTAGGCATGGGTTTCTTTTGGGGGAAATGGATATTTTCTAAAACTGAAGTGATACTGAACAGCACCATGAAACCACTGAGGTAAATGCTTTAAGAGGGTGAACTTTATGGTATGTGGATTATTCTTCAATACAGCTATATTTAAAAGTTAGATCACTAAATTATTTTAAAAATTTTTATAGGCTAGTTAGACAGCCAAAGAAGGGAGAAGAAAAAGAAAAAAGAGACAAACTACCAATATTAGAAATAAAAGGGAGACTATCAAAGGGACAATAAAGGGAATACGTTTGACAATTTAGGAAAAAAAGAAAAAGCCAATTCTTTATAAACATACCCCTCAGCAAAACTGACTCAAAATGAAATAGAAAATCTGAAAAGCTTGAAATATATTAAAGAAATGGAAAACAGTATCAAAGAAAATTCTGACTCAGGTGCTGGGGAGAAAGCCCGATTGGTAAAATGCTTGCTTGTCTTGCAAGCATGAGGACCTGAGTTCCATCCCCAGAGTCCACATTAAAAAAAGCAGGGGTGGGGGGCTGGAGAGATGGCTTAGTGATTAAAAGCATTTACTGCTCTTGCAGAAGACGTAGGTTCAGTTCTCAGCACCCACATCATGTGGCTCACAACTGCCTGCTACTCTAGTTCAAGGAGATCTGATACCTTTTTCTAACCTCCAAGGACATCTGTGCACATGGGAACATACTACAGCCAGGTACACACATACACATAAAATAAAATAAATCTTTAAAACAAAACTGCTATGGTGGCCCAAGCATATAACAGTGGTAGGGAGGCAGAGACAGGTAGATCCCTAAGGCTCACTGGTCAGTTGGCCTACCAAGCTCCAGGCCACGAGAGACCCAGTCTCCATAAACAAGGCAGATGGTTCCTGAGGAATGACCTCCAAAGTTGACTTTTGGCCTCCATGCACGTGCATCTGTATGAACACCCCCCACATACACACACATTTTAAAAATTGTAGGATCAGATTGCTGTATTAAAGAATTCTATCAAACACTTAAGAAAGAAAATTAGAGAATATCTTAACAGGACAGACCCAAAAATTCTTAAGAAAGTATCAGCAAGTTGAAGCCAGTAATATGTTAGAACATTGCATAATCAGGGTTTATAAAATCCAACAATGAATTTCAGCATATCAACAAAATAAAGAAAAACCACAGAATCATTTCAACAGATCTAGAAACCATTCGACAAAATTCAGCATACATTCATGATGAAAACTTTGTGCAAATCATAAATAGGAAGTTCCTCACCTAGATACCATTTAAGAAAATGAGGAACTAAGACTGAAGGACACGTGACAAGTATGTTCAACTCATGGTTCTAAACTAGCATCATTTACTAAAAAAGGAGATTATGAAAATAACAGGCAAAATCCAAATGGGGTCTAGATGGTACTAAAAATCCAAATGGGGCTAGATGGTATTATGTATCCATGTTAATGTTCCGATTTTAAAGGTTGCATGGTGGTTATATCGGAAAATGTATATATTTGGAGATGGCAGGGCTTCATCTCAGCAACTTACTCTCAAATGGTTCACCTACACACCAAAAGTTTTGTTCTATACTTACAAACTGCTTCCCCCAAAAAGTTTTAGACGCTTGTTTGATATATATACCTATCTATAAAATGAGCATATATAATATGAACATATATATATGAATACAGATTTATGCCTGTAAAGGCTGATCTTTATTAACTTGATGGGATTTGGAAACACATCTTTGTGTTTATAAGGGTATTTCCAGAAAGGCAGAGAAGACCTACTCTGAATGTAGGTGATACAATCCCATGGGCTAGGGTGCCTAACTCAGTAACAAGAAGTGAGCTGAGCACCAGAATCCAGCTCTTTCTGATTCCTGACCAGACTCTGTGACCAGCCGCCTCAGGCTCCTATTGTCATATCTTCCCCACTATAACAGACTCTTCCCTCAAACTGTGAGCCAGAATAAACCCTTCCTTAAGTTGCTTTTTTCTCCTTCAAAATTTTATATTGTTCATTATTAGCATGTATCTATGTATAGAGATCAGAAGACATCTTTTAAGTTGGTTCTCTCCTCCCTACCATGGGGGTTCTGGGACTCAAACTCAGGTTTCCAGGCATATATAACAAGCACCTTTATCCACTGAGCCAACTTGCCAGGCCTCCTTAAATTGTCTTAGTCTAGTATTTTGTCACAGCAATAAGAAAAGTAGCTAAAACAATGCCCAAGACAAGAGTTAGACTCTTTCTCTAAAGAGTCCTATGGTTTATGTTAAAGTCTTCAAAGCATTTAATATGTTTAATATTCTTATTAGCAAAATTCAATAGCTCTATATTCAGAAGAGTAATGTTGAGTAAAGCTGACTGTACGAAAATTATTTCCGATACAAGAAAGGATGCCACTAATAACTCCTTGCACTCTATCCCTCCATTTAATAGGTACAAATGTCCCCTTTCATAATAAATAAGTCCATCTGCCACTTTAGTATATCTCACTGAATTTCTTAAAGATGTAGTTTTGATTATGAAGTTGTTGATCTTTTATGAATTCAAGCCGAATATATCTACTCATATAAAACTGTACAAGCAAGATTTCCACAAAAAAATATGTGTGCCACACCTAATTAAATGTCATGGAAGGCTCCAGCTCATCTCAATAAATCCACTTTCACAGTCAAGCTAATGTGGTATGACAAGCAAGTCAGTTACACAGTGCTTTGACTTAATTTATGAATAGTGTCAGAGCCTGTATTTAGTACTAAGACCTTCACTGACTTTAAATAAGCTAAAGAACACAAAATACACTAACCAAAAGAAGAAAGACTGTTTCATTGGACTTGGTTAAAAGTGAACATTTCTGTTCCTCAAAAGAAAATGGATAGGAAGGTCCTGGCATGGGTAAAAAAATTCAGCCCATATCTGAAAAATAATTTGTATACAAGCTATATAAAGAATTCCTAGAAAGATACAATAAAAAGATAAATGACCCAACTTTAAAAGGATAAAACACCTCAACAGAGATATCAGAACAAACTTCAAAGACAAGCGTTAAAAAGGGGGGAGGGCTATTTTGAAATTGTATATGAATCATCTCGTAGACTAGAGCACTAAAAGATTTTAATGAACATGACAGTATGTTGTTTTGAAATAATAAAAAGCATTTTTCTTTGAGTTACATAAAAAACATTTTCCTTGTACAATAAAAATTTAAACTGGTTGAAAAATGATTCAATTAAAACATTCCCTAAGAAATATGAATGTTCAGAAGGTACTGTAAATGGTTCAACTTTGAAATAAAAATGTCCTACTTTTCCCACTTAAGTTTTGCAGAGATTTAAGAATATTCTATTTAGCCAAGCATAGTGGTGGCTTCTGCCTATAATCCCAGCACTTGAGAGGCCAAGGCAAGGAGATTTCTAACTCATATAAAACTGAGCCCAGCCTGGGCTACAGAGTAGACTGTCTCATCCACAAAATGGAACATTCTAGTAGCACTTGGCTGTAAGGATCAGTTTTCTGAAATCTGTGCAAATAAATAAAGATGCAGAACTAAATAGGTGTTCAGGAGCACACAAGACTACCATTGTCATTAGCAGCTCCCAATGGAAAAAGTCTACTAAGTAAAATGGGCTCACTATCCATACTTACTACTTTTATACTTAAAAGGCTTGGTGAAGAAATGTTAACACTGTAAATTTACAAGGTTAAAAAATTAATTTACAAAATCAACAATAAAATATAAGCTCAGATGTAGTTCAGTGGTACAGCACTCGCCAAGCTTGCAGAGTCCTAAGTTCTCTCTCCAGCACACCACACACAAAAAGAACAGCAACAACAGTAATAATACAGTGTTGTGATTACGTGTTCTACTGCTTTAAAATTTTTAGGACAGTAATTTCTAACTTAAGAACTGCTAAGCATTTTATTGAGACCAAAAACCCCCACAGACCTTGTGAGAAGGACATTCCCCATCTTAATGGCTAGCAGTACAGGAACATTGAGAAAGACATATATCACTGAGATTATTTTCCAACAAACACACACGGTGCTTATCCCTATAGAATTCTGCATGGCATATTTTATTGCAGTACTTACTGGTGCTACTATTTTTCCTGTCTGACCAACTTGCATGTCATTGGGAACAAAGCCAGCATCAACAGCAGCACGGGAAGCACCAACTAAAAAGGGGAGGAAAAATGTCATTTTTTTTCAAGCTCTACTATTCAGCTAGTGAGTACTTACTATTGCAAAGCAAGATGCTAATATTATACAGTTATAAATTATTATACAGAGTACTTAGTTATGAAAGAAATTCCTATAACTAAGTGAGAATCCTAAACACTAAGTATGAGTGCACTTTTTTTGTTTTTGGTCTTTTTGAGACAAGGTCTCCCTGAAACCCCTTTTTAAAGAAAATAACATCTATTTATACCCACAACCTCCAGTTTTTAAATTTGGCTGGCTTTTGATCCTTCTTTATCAAAAAGGCATTCATAAAACCTACATTACAATCTACTTAGGATGAAATTATACAATGTCCCTTTATATAGTAACTTCATAACTTTTGAAGAAATGTGCTGTAGTATCATTACCTCTTGTGACCAGACAAAGAGATACAGTAACACAAGGTTAAGGTTTAACAAGTATCAAGTTAAATAAATAAAAACAAAAGTGGTTTTCTCTTCACAAGAAGCTCTACTCTTAGTAAAATCACCCCTTCCAGCCAGAGTCAAGAATGGACATCAGGCATCTTCATCACCAAAGAACACATGGGAGCCACAGGCAACACATCCAGGGCCTCCTAATACTCACAGCCTCACCACCATCAGTCTTGACTGAGTCAGGACTTATCATATCTTGCCTTTTATTTAGGACGATCACCACAAGAAGGCCCAGGCTGAAAGGACAACTGCATAACCACACACTGATCCCAATGATGCTCTCCATACTTCCCGACTCATATCCATCTCCATTCGTCCTCAGTTCTGGAGTCCACTTCTGGACTCCTCTGCAGCACTCTCCAGCAGAGGCTGCTCTGTCTCCTACCATCTTCCCCATTGTCCCTCTCAGAAAATTCCTGTTTGAAGTTCATGTCACTGCATTGCCACTCATTTATTTCTATCATCTACGAACTCCTATGTCAATCCCCTTCATTCTCATGATTTTTAGTGTCTCTCTAACACTGATTCCATCATAATTTCATTCATTTTCTCTATTGTTAAGTTTTTCAATTTATGCTCAATTTTTATTAGTCCTTTTCTTCTGCTTACTGTTGATTTGCTCTTATTATAGTTTCCTATGACAGAAGCTCAAGTTATTAATTTTAGATCATCCTTCTTGTCTAATATGCATTTACCACTATAAATTTCCCACTATGAACCCATCCTGGTGGTGGTATGGGCAAATAGTCCTAGCTATGTAGGAGGCTAAGGATCACAAGTTTCAGGCCAGCATGGACAACTCAGTGAAATTGTCTCAAAATTTTAAAATTTTTAAAAATAAAGAAAAAGAAAGCTGGGGGCTTAGGGCTATAGCTCAGTAGAAGAGCATCTGCCCAGAATGAGTGAGGCTCTAGGTTCACTCCCAGTACAGGAGGAAAAACTTCCCACTAAGCACTGTTTTCTCTGAACCACACATTTTTAAAAATTTTGTTTAACAAAATGTGTATTGATAAGAAAACAGAATACTCAGGAAGCCAGTTTCTATAGCCCACCCAACTAAAAGGCACGGGAGACCAGATCATCTGCAGGATAAAAGGATCTTCTCCCAGTGTGATCATAGTGCTGGGTCAGCAGTCAGCAGTCTTAACATTTTCACCCCTCTAGATGCCAGAACCATCTCCATCCGGTGCTGGCATCTGACAGCCTCGCAGTCTAGGATGCCTTTGTTTTGAGGCTACCTGGTAGTGTCAGTGGACATCCTTTAAACTAGTATTAGCTCAAGCTAGCAAAACCTTGTACTTCTCTATTGCGCCATTAAAAGCAGCATTAGTGCAAAAAAATTTTTTTTGTTTAAAATAATTTCTCTTGAGATATGTTCATTAACTTACATATTACTTAGGAAAGTACTGTTTTGGAGGCTGGAGAGATGGCTCAGTGGTTAAGCACACTTGTTGCTCTTGCAGAGGACTCAGTTCAATTCCCAGCTCCTATATGGCGGCTAACAACCACTTGTAACTCTGGTTCCAGGGGAATCAGATGCCCTCCTCTGACCTCTTCGGGAATCACATGACATGGATGCACTTACACATATGCAGGGTATACTCATATACATCAAACAATAAATAAAGCATTTTTTTTAAAGTACTGCTTAAGGATTCTGGGGTTTTCCAACTACACTCCTGTCACTGACTTCTAACTCAAACTTACTGTGGTCTGAGATCAGAGATGGAATATTCTCTAGTCCTTTAAATTTGTCAAGGTGTATTTTATGGTCTCAAACGTGGTCTTCTCTCATAAATGCTCCCGTGAGCCTGAGAATTTGCTGTTGTTGAAGACATCTATAGATGTCAATTATATCCAGCTGATTGGTGGTATTGTCAAATTCAAATATCCCCTTACTCATTTTCACTGTTTGTTCTGTACATTTCTGATAAGAGTTGTTGGAAGTTTCAAACTTCACTAGTAGGTTCATCTATTTCTCCTTGGATTTTATCAATTTTTTTTCTTTTCCTTTTTAAAAAGTATGTGTGCACGTATGAGTGGTGTATGTACATACAAATGTTAGCATAAGTATGTGTGTACCAGAGGTTGACTTCAGGTATCTTCTTCTATCGCTGTCCATCTTATTTTTTTGAGAAAGGGTCTCTTACTGACCCTGGAGGTCACCATTTGGCTACACTAGCTGGTCAGCAAGTCCTAGGGATGCCTCTGTCCTCATCTTCCAGTGCTAGGATTACAAGCGTGTGCCCCTCACACCCAGCTTTTATGTGGGTGCTAGGGATCTGAACTCAGATCCTTATGCTTGCACAGCAAGCACTTTTCTGACTGAGTCATTTCCCCAGCTCCTGGTGCTTGTTTTTGAGACAAGGTCTTGCTATGTTGCTTACACTGCCCACCTGCTCTTGCATAGTGTTCACCATATTCTTCAGAGCCCTTAGCATATGAATCAGTTGTTTTAAATCATTAGTCTGATAATTTCACTTGAACCTGGTTCTGGTGATTGTTCTATTTCTTCAAAACTCCTTTCTGCTTTTCACTGTCTTGTAAAATATCTTAATAGGGCTGGAGATATGGCTCAGCAGTTAAGAGCACTAACTGCTCTTGCAGAGGACCCAGGTTCGATTCCCAGCATCCACATGGCTGCTACGAACCGTCCTTAACTCCAGTTCCAGGGGAATCCGAAGCCCTCTTCTGACCACCTCAGCACTGCATGACATGGAAGATATCTTATTTAAAAAAATCTTAATAGCCAGACAAAATATTCTAGTAACATAAATAGTGGAAGTTGTAAGGGAGAGGAAGTATTCAGTAGCCCTCTGACTAGCTCTCAGCCTTTACTGAGACTTCACTTCTGAGCTATGAACTTTACAAATGCGTCTCAGTTTTTCTTCCACCCTTAGAGCAGGATGTTTAGAGTGGCTGGAGCTGGGCATTTCCCTTCTGCCATGTGGAAGGTTGTAAGAGACAACCTTCCCCCAAGTTAGGCTTTAGTCAGGCTCTGGCTAAATACAAATAGTCCCTGACTTATGAAGGCTTGACTTAAGATTTCTCAACTTACTGGTTGACAATGACAAGTACCTGAAACTTTGAATACTTAAAATTTTGAATTTCAACATTTTCTTGGTGTAACAATATGCTACACAAAACTCTTCTGTGGTGCTGGGCACAGAACTCCAAGTTATTCATGCTGTTACAAGGGTAAACAACCGACATTCCACAGTGGATTGTGTTAAGCTGTAACGTCCAATAGGTTAAGTATATGAAATGCAATTTCAATTTATATTTTTCAATTTATGATTAGTTTGTCAGGACACAAACCTACGAGTCATGTCCCTCGACCTTAGCCTCCCAATTACTGGAATTACAGGCATAAGCAACCACACCCTGCCTCATCAATAAACTTCTTTTTTTACATTTATTTATTTATTTATTTATTTATTTATTTATTTATTTGGGAGGATGGCACATGTGGAGGTCACAAGACAACTTGAGGGAGTCAGTGTTCGCCTTCTACCATGGCTTTCAGAGACTGAACTCAGGTCTCGGCCTCGATAGCAAGACCTTTACACTCTGTGCCATCTTGCCAGTCCAATCAATAAACTTTTTTTTAAAATTTCATTTTTTTTCATTTTATATATAAAAATGTTTTGCCTACACGTACGTAACTGCACCACATGTATACAATGCCCACATATGCCAGAAAGTATCAGATCCCCTGGAATTGACGTTATAGACAGCTACCATGTGGATGCTAGGAACCGAACCCAGGTCCTCTGCAAGAGCAACCAGTGCTCTTAACTACTGAGTCATCTCTTTAGCTCCATCCTGATAAACTTTTAATAAGATTCTATATTTCCTACACATAAAATTTATTACTTTATAATTTTAAAATAATTTAAATGTATTTCTATAGAAAAACAGCATTAACTAATCTGAAGTAGGCACACTGAAGCCGGCATTTTAATATTTAATATTCTTATCTTTTTACCTTTATGTGTATGAGTACAATGCCTGCATGCATGCAAGTGCACTCATGTCACGCAATGCCCATGGAGGTCAGAAGAGGGTATGAGATTCCCTGGAACTGGAGTTACGGATGATTGTTAGCCACCATATGGGTGCTGGAACTTGAACCCACGTCCTCTGCAAGAGCAGCCAGTACTCTTAGCTGCTGAGTCATGTCTCTAGAATGGCATTTTAATATTTTTAAATGAAAACTAAATTTATAAATTACTAAGATGTGACAAGTTCAAAATTATCACATTACTCTTCAAAAAAATTATTAGGATACCCCTTCATCACTGCAATGCTATTATCATTTATTTGAAGGTCTAAGAAAACTATTTTTTAAAAATAAAATATTACTTGCAAGAAAATGGACATAACTGAAGATTATCATGTTAAGCAAAATAAGTCACATGCAAAAAAAATTAGTGTCTCCTGTTTTCTCTCATGTGGAATCTAGATTTTTAAAAAAACAGACATGAGAGTAGAAAGGGTTCTACTTGGGGGGCTGGAGAGATGGCTCAGCAGTTAAGAACACTGGTTGTTCTTGCAGAAGACCCAGGTTCAAATCCCAGCACCCACATGGCAGCTAACACTTGTCCGTAACTCCAGTTCCAGGGGATCCAACAGCCTCTTCTGATCTCTGAGGGAATTGTGCAACATGGGTGCACTTACCTACATGTAACCAGAAATGCATGTGCATCTTAGTGTCAATTGTATTAAAAATGAATT